GGAGGTGGGCTTGGAGGGACTAGTGAGACACCTAATACGTGACGCCGGGGTCTGCAGTAGAGACCCTGGAGGAGGGTTGGGAGCCATAGTCGTGCTCACAGCGGACGTTCACTGAGTGCTCACCATGGCCGTTACTTTACCTCGCGCTCATGTCAATACACTATGCCGCCTTCAAGCATCAGCTCATCTAAGTCTATGAAGTGGTTTCTGTAATTCTCCCCATTTGCAGAGAGGAAACGGGCTTAGAGGGATTGAGCGACTTGCCCAAGCTCACATCACTAATGAGCAGTGCGGCCAGGCTTGCGTCTCACTTCTGATCTGCCTGCTGACACACAGGTGGGGCCTTAATCACGGGGCCAGGCGGCAGATCGCTGCAGCTGCTGTGTGCAAGTAATTCCACGCCCGTTCGTAAACAGTGGTCTGTGCCCTCTCTCACCTTACCCGGCTTTTTTTTTTTTTTTTTTTTAATACCATTTATCCTTGGCATTATATTCTAGATATATTTGCTTACTGCCTGTATCCTGCATTAGAACCTGAGATCCAAGAGGTCAGTTCCAAGACTCTGCTCGGTCTTTTCACAGATGTTTACTATGTTCCTAGAACAGCGCCTGGCACATAGTAGTTGCTCAACAAATATTGTACAAGCATAATAATATTAATAACCATCACATGCAAGCTTGTGCCAAGTGCTTGGCATGTATTAGCTCACTTGACCCCAGGACTGTTGTGATCCCCATGTTAGAGATGAGATAACAGACCACAGGCAGGTCTGGGAACTTGCTCAAGGCTGCAGGGCTCAGAAGAGCTGGAGCGAGGATTCTGATGCAAGCACTTTGCCTCCAGATATCAGGTCCCTACATGCTAAGCTTAATTGCCTTTCATGAATGAGTGAATGATTAGTTAAAACAGAGTTATATGAGCTATAAAAATGTACATAGTAATGCATTTCAAAGTAAATATTTAATAAAGAGAAATTATATCAGTGATGAGGTAATATTTTTCTCTTGTTAGGAAATGACAGGTTTCTGGGGAAAAAATATATTTTAACATAGGCTCAGATTCCTGGAATGTTTGTCATTATAGCATCACTGTAATCTCCTGGTCCACATGTGAATCCTGGGTTTTTAAAGGCTAGTAAATCTGTCTGATGTATGTTCCAAACAGGATATTATATCCTCATAAGATAGACCTACTTCTTATGGAAGAAATAACAAACAGATGTTAATTTTTGTCATGATTTATTTGTTGGTCTAGAAGTTCAGTGCCTAAGAACTATGTAATAGTTGGAATTTGGAAATACAGTTGAACTGGAATCAGCCTTAAAAGCAGGATTCAGTCCTTTAGAACTTTTGCCTAATACTGAACAAATAGCTTGGTTTTTGCTTTCTAATTTAGTGCTTGGTCTGAATAATGAGACCGAATTAGACCATAAACTCATGTACTTAAGGTATATGGACAAGTAACAAATATTGGGAAATAGTCTGTTGACAAGGGATGAGGCCAGCATCATGGAGTTAAATTAGTTGGACTTTTTCCAGACAGAGGCAGAAAGACTAAAGTGGTTCAAAACCAAATTTGCCTAATAAAGTTATTTATGACATTTAAAATATTAATCTACTTTGATCCATGTTCAAATGTTGGCTTTTTCATTCATACTAATTCTAGATATAAATTTTTAATGATTTCTGCCTCCATATCAAGAATAATGGGCTTTCTCCATTCTCAAAGCATTTTTAGAATGCTCAGCTGTGAAATCAAACCCTTTCCCAAATGACGATGATGAATATGTATGAGAAACAGGTAATGAAGTGGAGTGTTGGTTTTGAATTTGTTGGTTCTCAGTAATTATTAATGGCATTAAATGTGAATATGCCATGATAAAAAATGTTCAAAGGAAGTTACTGCCTGAAGGTCCAGTAGGCTTTTCTGACTTTAAAATGCTTATTAGGATAGCAGTAGATGCCAGTGATGGAAACAAAGGTAGATTTTGGTTCAACAAGACAAATAGTGTTAACGTAAGATGTTTAAATTACTGTGATCAACTTTTTCTTTTCTTTTTTTTTCCTTTTCTGTCATTTACCCATATTTGATTATTTGTATTTTTAGTCCCTTTATGCTTGCCTCTGTTATGGTGTTTTCTCGTTTTTGTTAGAATTTTACCTTCAACTTTTAGGTTTGAAATAGAATCATGGTTTGGTGAATAGGCATCATTTAGATGCTGACAGGCATGACTGCCTTTGTTATAGCTTTTAGCTTTTATTCCAAAGGGCTCTGTTGATAGAACATTTTCTTACTTCTTCCTTGATTTTTCGTTTGAAAACTCTTCCTTATTCATCCCTGCAATTGCATACTAAAAAACTCTATTTTCATCTAAAAGTGCTGTCCGGTGGTGATGTGGCATCTTTAAGGAGGTTTAATTCTTGTGGATAGAACAGACAGTAGATATAAAGAACATAAATTATTACAATCCCGAGTGGTAAGAACTGAGATAAGATCATTTGATGGAAAATTTTATTGTGACCTTTTAAATTATTTTATCTTAGAGGTGCTAATACATATGAGTATGTGTGTATCTAAGTCTGGGTCTGTGTGTGCATTCACACACAGAATATATACACACAGACACACAAACGTACATGCATATATATATGCACACATATATATAAAACAAGAATAAAAGCTCTTGGTCCTTTTTGAGGATAGTAGACAAAAGTTTATAAGTAGAATGGCTTTGGCTTAATCAAGAGTTAATCAAGACCAGGTTTCTGAGTATCAAGGGAGGACCTATTTTATATTTTTAAGACAAAGGTATTCACACATATTTGGAGATAGTTATCAACATAGCATACTAGTTTTTGAAATGTTTCTATTTGGAGATACAGGGGTACAGAAAACTTGATTGCCATTTTTGTGTTCACCAACTGAAGCAAATACAAAATCCAGGCATGTGATTTAGTAAACAAAAAGTAATGGAGATAGGAAAGATTGTAACCCACTAGTAATCCAGAGAGTTTATTTTAGTCTAGAATATAACTCCTCCTTTGCTCTGACTAAACCTTTGCCTGCTGCAAATTGTCGTGACAGAAGGTATTTGTAGGCCTGCCTCTGCACCTCTGCCAGGAAAGTGCCCTCACAGCCTTTCTGCAGACGTTACCTGTCTGAGTGTAATACTTGTTGACATCACTTGTATAGTTCCTAAAACTCGGAAGGGTGGTTCTTGTTTGGTAACCACATTTTCGTATTTATTTTTGCTCAAAACAGTTTTTTAGTTAAAATATATTTTAAAGCATATATGTAATAATTTCATCCTTCTGACCCAAATATTTTCATTTTTCTGGCTCCTTTCCAGTCTCTATCCATCTGTGATTTTGTTTTACATGGTTGGAATTATGTGTTTTAACATTTGACAGAAAGACATTCCCATTGTCATAATGTCTTCATCATTATAATTTCAGTTGCTCTATAATAGCTCATTTGCAACTTATTTTCTTGTAAGACTTCTTTTAGTGTTTGCTGTGTTTCTTTTCTAGCTAGTTGATATTAGCATGCTCCCATAATTATTTGCAAGTTTTATGCAACTATTAATGTTACTGGTTTTCTTCACACATGATTTTTGCTCTTATGTAATCCTCATGAATATGTATGTGTGTGATATACATGTATGTGTATATATGTATGCCATATGTATGTATAAGCATATAGCTATATATGCATGTATATGTATAGATATGGCATATATATGTATGTGTATGGCATATGCATGTATACAGCATATAACTAATATATGTGTGTATATATGTATATATATATACAGATACATATAGCAGTTTTTGAAAAGACAATGAAAATTACTTCATTATTCAGAATCAACAGTAGGAAAGCCCAGATTACATTGGGGTGCTGCTAATTCAACCTTTAGGAGTTTGCTTTTTCTCTCTGACGTGCCACGTTGTTAGTGTGATTTAACCTTTGATTACTGTTTTTACGTTTCATATTTGTCCACAGCAGTTAAAGAAAATACTGCATGCGATGAAGAAATGAGGCTTATTTGATTTCCCGAAGATTTATATTGGAAACCATTCTTTTCTTCTTAAATAATAAACTTATGTGAACTTAAAGAATGGTATGGCATCTACTTTAGTGTGGTAATATTTCATATAGTTAAGCATGTATTCTTAAAGTCTTTTGTAACAATTACCGGGGCTGTAGGCACTACAAAACACAGAATATCCTATGGTTTGTTGGGGGGTGTCCAAGCATATTAGGTGTCTGGGTTTTGACTTGTCTCAACTTGAAATAGATTAAATAGTGCTTAACTTCGAAGCTCACATTTATAGCTTTAAAGATATGACTCTCTCTCTCTCTACAGTAGAGCAGGTATGTATATGTAACCGTAGTTGTGTCTATTTCTGGATCTTAGTTCCTCCTAAGTTTATAAGTTTTGATATTCCATCATTACGCTATTAACCGTTGTTGCCTGAATACTTGAGGATTCTATTTCTAGTGTTTAGACCCAAAGCTCTTCATTATGATGGTGTTTTAGTGTTTTTAGGGCACTCTAAAATTTTTTCTTCACTTGAGGTAAACTGGCTATTATATCGTCTTGTTTAGCCCGAAGTGTTTTATTTAATACGTGCTTCCTCTGTTGTGTAAACAGAGAAAGCTGTCTTTATGCCTCTGAGTTTGCCCTGACTTCCCCTGGGCTCTTGCCTTCCAGTCGCCTTTGCACGCCTGCAAATTCCAGGTCTGCTCCGGGTGTCACTGGAGACCCTTCCTGGAGGGCCTCTGCGCCATGCGGAGCCTGGGGGCTGAGGAGGCCGCGTGGCTTCAGCAAAAATCCTTCACTTCGAGTAGCCCAAAGGGAAGAGAAAAGAGACGAGTAGGAAGAGCAAAGCGTCAGATCTTTAAAAATACCTGGTTTTACATTTGAGTCTTTTGAAGAAATTGCTGCGGTCATATTGTGTTTTTTATGTTTCTCTGCTTTGACGATGTTTTTTCAGGAAGTCCCCAGAGTCCTCCTCCTTCACCAGCTGGCTCAGCAGGA